TTCCAAGCTCTCTTTCTTCCTGGATGGTTGTGCTGCTTCAGCCACTGTCTCCCAGATGGAGCGAGGCCTCTTGTAAGGGAAAAAGTTCAGATTGCTCAGTGGATGCCCCTTGTAGATAGTTTGTGCCTTGTGTGGATGCTTTTCTTCAGTATTGTGACAGGCTTGGAGCTCCTGCAAGTACTCCTTGGCCATCTGCCATACCCCGTCTGGCATGGTCAGCAGGGCAGAGCCAGGTGTGTTGCTTTGGCAGACAGCTCACAGAGCAGGGGCTTCACCTCATTGCTGCTCCACGCTCTCCGTGTTCTTGAGGGCATCTTTCCTTCATATGCACTTTTCCTGTGCTCACCCTGTCCTGACCAAGCTCTCAGGGTACCAGAAGTCTTCTCCACTCCCAGTGCCCCCCTGACTAAAGTCATACTCTTCATGGGTAATGTAGTTCATCGATTTGTGTTGTATCCTTGGTCTGCCCAGCCATCCCGACAGCCTGGTGTATGTTGCATATGTGCTGGTGATTGCTATGCTCAGCCACTTCATTTACAGCCTCAAGAATGTGAGAGGCCGTCAGAAAAATGCTGGAGGTGAGAAAGTGTTTGAAAATGCCTGAAGGCAATAAGCCTTCATGGTGAAAGTTTCACGCAGCAGGGGCAGCAAGGGCCCAAAATCTCACCACAGTTATGCTAAACTTCAAGAAGGGGAACCACATAAAAAGTGAGAGGACTTATTAAAGATAAGCTAAAAGTTGTAACTGATAGAATTCAATCCTTATGTCCCCCCAGCACAGGAGCTTCAGCCATCCCACCCCCTACAGGTGCCATACACCCTGGGAGCCGAAAGCGCTCCCTGCGTTGGGCAGTCAGGACAACCTCTGGAGGTGCAGGTGCCCAACATCAGGGTACTAAGCTGAGCCCAGCTTTAACAACCCTGGCAGCACTACGGGGATTGGGATTAAGATTTCAAAGTTAAGCAGTCCAGTATGAGCAAATGCCAGAGCTGATCACAGTCATAAGCATGTGATACTATGTTTAATTTTAATTGCATGATTTTCTGTTCTTTTTTTTTTTAATCTGTCTAGATTTGAATCACACTGGTGTGGTGATGCTGAAACAGACTGTTGGCTGGAATAACCTGCTCACCCTGAGTGATGCTCAACAAGTCATTCCTGTGAGGCGTTACCTAAATGCTCTCAAAATACATACCCATTGTTTCTCAGACCTTCAAGCTGAGGCCCTGGATCTTACTGTCTGGGTGAGATCAGACTCAGAGAGAGTGAGACCCACTAATGAGTACTTATAGCTGCAACCACAACCAATGACAGTTGTATTTTAAACGCCAAGACATAATGTTAAGCACTCTGAAAAATCAGGTACTGGAGACCTAAAGGTGATGGATACTCCTGACATTAATTTCTCTAACTCTCAGGTTCCCCTATATATAAAATAGAAAAATGCCCCACAAAACACACAGGCATATTGTCAGAGTACATTTGTCAGTCCATACCATATTGATCAATACCACAGGAGAATGTGATAGTGGCTTAATACTGAGTGAAGGGCTGATTTGCAAACTGTTGGAGGATGAGAATCTTGCACTGAGCATCTTCAGATCTCATGAAGAACCCAACTTACAGTGAAGATTTTTATTTTTAAATTAGGATTCCTGAGGTGATTTAGATATATTGGGGGAGGAAAAGCAAGACAAGTGCTTCTCACTTTTCCCAAGGTTCATTCTTCTTTTCTTGCAGAGATTTAGGTTTATTTAACTTTCTCAGTACAGCCAGAAACTGAGGTCAGTGAGGATGGGACTCATATTTGAGGGCACTCTGGGCATGATGTAGAATTTTCCAGGCATCAGCTAAACCCAGTGCTATTGGTGCTATTAAATAGCAGTAACTATGTGAAAGGACATTTCTCTGGCTTTCAAAGTGCTGTTGGGAAAGGATTTGTAAAAATCACCCCCCAAAATGACTCCCGGCTAACTCATATTTGTGTCTCACAGGATAGAGAGCATTCAAAGACAAAAGACTTTCAATTAGATACTCAGTGATGAGATGCAAGAAAAAAGCTCCAAAGATGGCACAAAAGAAAACACTTTCTAAGGCAGACCTGGCAGCACACACCAGTAGGCAGCTGAACCTGACCAACTTGAAACCCCTACGAGTGTTTAGAAAGTTCAGCAATAACAAGAAGCAAAAAGAGATGAGCATTTGCAGCTCTATCTTGCAGTCATAGCAATGAGAAGGAACTAAGTGGCATTCACGTCTCAGTCATCTATTGCTATGGAGTAGAAACATGCTGACACTCAGCTGTATAAAGTATCCCAAAAGACATAACTGGCCAAAAGATTTCGGCCCTAAGGAAATCATGTGCACCATGCCTGGGAGAATACACCAGTCATCACTCAGGGAAAAACTGCTTCTCAGATGATATCACAGTTAGTTTTTATTGCCTATTGTTTGGAGATAAATAGCTGGTTTTCTCTCATGAGGAGTGGTGAGGGGCTTTCAGAGCTTTCCTAAGGAAAGGATTTTAGAATGAAAGGCTAGAAGTCATCTGCCTTTCTCTGGAAATATTTTATAAGCAATTCAGACTACATTCTTAGGATTTTTAAAACATTTTTTATTCATTTTTATTGCTTTTGACTTGTTTTTATAGTAAAAGAACAAAGAATAACATATTACAATGTATATAGACTGAAGTCCTTCAACAAGCTACTTTAACACATTTGCTTTCTTGCACCACAGCCATCTCTTACTGTTTGAAAAATTGAAGTTTCAGGGGTTATAGCTCATTAGAAAAAACACAGGACCTCAGACAAAACAACTGTGGGGATGTTTTAAGACTCCTAAGTCTCAAAATTCCTTACAAGTAAAGGAACAAATGTAATCCCTATTAATGAATAGAAATTACTTTTAAAATAACTAACAAACTGTGTTGACTCAAAACATCTTCTGACACAGCTCATTAGCCAGACGTGAGAGCTGGGGTATGTGTGCATTCCCGTTGGACTCCTCTAGGAAAGAGAATGGAGTAGCTCTCTGATGGGAGCAGGGGTTATGGCAGTCAGGTGTGAAACTACACCAGGACGCTCCTGTTTGCTGAAATGCTTCAGTCCCTGGACTAAGGAGAACTTTGCTTTTACGCCAGTATTTTCTGACAAAGGATCTCACTATCTGTGGACCGCTTTCCCAAGGCCTGGGATGACAAGGGAGCAAAAGGACTAATTCAAAGATTTTCTTCTTGTTCTCCTGCTTAAAAAAGGGAAAACTCATTGATAATAGAGGCAGCCAGCTTGCAGGATCCAAAACTGGATCCAATGGGTCTTTTCCCAGATAGAAGAGGACAGACTGAGAAGGTGGAGTAAGAATCACATGCTACAGGATGGTGTAATGTGAGGGAAAGCACAAGAGCATTGACATAGGAACATTCACATTTAACCACAGAAGGAGAGGGCTAGCACGTGAGCTTGAAAAAAAATGAAATCAGTCCCCTACAGTAAAAGCTAGATAAACTGTCATTTACATAAAGAACACTTAGGGAAAG